CCCATCAGTGCCGACCCAACTACACCACCACGCGCATGCCTCGCGGCGGATATGCGCAGCAGCAAGAAGGTTTCGGTCATCCCTTGAGGGTGAGTCTAGCCCTGCTCGCCAGAAAGACCCCCCCCTTCACTACAACCCATGTCTAAGCAAAAGCTTGTCGAGGAGCGAGGGGAAGAAGGGAGGAGTGTATGTGCGCTGTTGAAAACAACCGAGGTACAGCAGTAGCACCCAGCAAACACGAGACACATGATGTGGAAGACCAAGCGGAAAGTATTGCACAACAAGCAATTTTGTAGTGGCACAGAGTAGTACAACGGTGGTAGCGGTTTGTGTTCTTGTCTCCACCAGCGTATCATGGAGCCTACAGCGGTGTTGCCTCCACACACCCACTCTTGAACCAGCACAAACAGTTCCAACATGTCAACGCCACCCACGTTCTAAATTGAAGAAACCATAGCATACGGTGGGTGCTAATCGAAGGTCGCTGCGTGGCAGAGTCCCAACTTGACCATCTATGCCAGTAGAGGAAATAATGGAGCAGCGACCGCTGTTACTGGGGCCGTGCTATCGAAGGCAGCTGCACTCCGAAAACTGCGCAAATCTCGGTACATTCACAATCTACCGTTGTAAGCGCTATCGCAGACCGAATCCTTCGCACTGCGGGCCATCCGAGGCAGTTTGTTACAGCATAGTGGTGTGAGCTACTTGCTTTCCCTCACACACGGCGTTTTTGCGTTTCTTCAGTTATTTCGTTATTTCTTTGTTTATCGTCGCCATAAGAAGCGAAACCACAAACCATTCTCTCAGGAGGATTATTGGCGATGTGTACCCACGTTTGTGTACAAAATAAAATGTCACCATTGCTTAGTTCGGGCTTCTTGTTTCCCAACCCGGGCTTCGTTCCCTTTGCCTCCCTTCTCGCTCCGGACATTTTGGTGATGATGCCAATTATAGGAGTAGTCGATGACGATATACGGAATCGGAGGCGTGTCTGGCACGGGCAAAACCCACTTCCGCACCAGTTGCGAGGGTTTCCGAGACGTCCGCGTGTTGGACATTGCCGACGTGTACGAGGAGTCCTTGGCGCAGGGCCACCCAGACCTCCACTGGAGAACGGCGCTCAAGGTCTTCCAGGGGAGGGTCCTGGGATGGTTGGAGGAGGATCGATCGAGCGACATCGTGTTGGAAGCGTTTTTCAGGCCTGATGGCGCGCAGCGGCAGGCGATCGAGGCTATTGCCCGTGACGTCGGGGTCGACGTAATGTGAGCGCGTTGTTTGCCATGGATTCGTGACCTTGTATGCACGTGGCGTGCTTTTTTCACGTCGTCTGAACCAATCACAACAACACGCGTCGGATGTACGCAACTGGGGCTGACCACGCGCGCAGGCCTGTGTGGTGGGCGATGCTGTGTGACTCGCTTTAGGAAGCATTGTGGTCTCACCGACACTACTGTTGCCTAGACCACGCTTGAGGTAATGTACACGCGTGAACCCTCAAAACAAGCGCCGACTCCTGTGCACGTGACATTCTATCTGACATTGCCGTAGCAATGTTTATTGGGGGGGGGGGGG